AGAAGAAGAAGAAGAAGAAGAAGAAGAAGAAGAAGAAGAAGAAGAAACAACAACTGAATAGGGAGTGGCTCATGAACTAACATTCTAAGAGCCATTTTTTTACGTCACCATTATTGTACCTTTTGTAAGAGAAGCTCAAAGTGACGTACTTATTGCTCCCTCCTCTTGTCAGAACAATCCTATGAGGTAGTTTGGCCTGCGGGAGAATGAATGGATTTCCCCGCTCCTCGTCCAACATCTAGACAATACAATAGTTCTGTTTGGCTGTCCTGCTCATGGAATTTGCCTAATCTGTTTTAAAGCCATCTGGGCTGATGGCCTTCAATTTATAACCAAGGAATTCCCTACAGGAGTTATATGCAACATGGAAAATGTGTTTTTCCCCCTTAAATTCAGTGTAGGAAACATATAATTAAGCTCTGATCATGAGAGTCTGGGGACACTTTAACTGTGTTTGGGTACCTACAAGAAGAACAGGAAAAAGATCTATACCAGGGGTGTCAAACTCAAGGCCCGTGGATCGGATTTGGCCTGCAGGGTGTTTAAATCTGGTCTGTGGGGCTGGCCTAGAAATATCAAAGGACCAGCCCGCAGTGCCTCTGCTGGTCAAAAGAGGCTGGTCATTTTTGGCCAGGAGGCTGTGGAGGCTGAAAACGGACCATGCAGGGGCTTTCTGGGGCCTTTGTATGGCCAATTTTCAGCCTGGAGAGCGGTGCAGGAGGCCAGGGCGGCCGAAAATGTGGTACAGGGAGCCACGTGTGCCCCCAACCTCTGTTTTGTCTGGCAGGGTGCTGCAGGAGGCATCTGTCCCATCTCCCCTCTGCTCCCCCCACTTCCGATCCACTGAGGAGAACTACAATGCTGATCTGGCCCTCAAAGAAATCCAGTTTGACACACCTGGTCTAGACCAAAGAACTAAAGGCTTTTGCTGAGTATGGCGTAAATACACCTCACAGAACCAATAAGTGATTAATGTGTAGAATTGTGTCAGGAAATTCCATATACTATGATAATAATTGCCTAACACACTTTGTCAAGTTGATTAGGGAAGCAAAAGAGAATTCTTTCTCTTCTAATAAGTCTACAACAATTTCTAGACTTTCCTAATTTTGGGTTACTCAGAGAAGATAAGAAAAAGTGATTATTAGAAAAGATCTCAGTTTCATCTATTCTTGACCCACTGAAATGGCATGAGTTTTTGGGCCTTATAGATCTCATTAATTGGCATTATTCATAATGGGTGAATTCCATATGGTCATAGGTTCCTTCCAATTCACAGCAAACAACTTGATGTGTCCTGCTAAGACAGAGTTTTACAATCATAATGTATTGCTCAAAAGTCATGGTTGGTTTTCCACAACTTGCTAAAAATGAGACATGATTTTAGCCCTTTTCCTTTGATGTTCTGAATGTTAGATAATTGGACAGCGGGCTCAATTGTTTCTTCTCTTTTGGCCGAGCGGTAATAATTAAAAGCAAGGAATTTAGCAAATGCCTTGCTGAGCCCCTAAATTCAGAGATTAGTGGAACAAAGTAGAGGCAGTAGATGGCCCTGAGAAAACGAAGTTGTCAGCATTCCAATGAAACTCCCCATTTCATTCAGCACTCAGAAACAAAGTTCATCCAAGTAAGAATTTATTAGAGAAATCAGACTGGCGCATCTGGGAAAACCGGAATCTGAGAGTTCTGGGTTTTCCCTTTGTAATTGAAAATCAAAATCACATCCCCATATTTTATCTAGAAGCTTCCACGCTGCCAGAAACAAACATTGTGTGAAGACTTAAAAGGCATCTAAGATGCTTCCATAGCAATCTGACTCATGGAAGTACATTGGTGTGGTTCTCTCTTAAAACATCCGCTTTCTTTTCAAAATATCCTACTGATCCTAGAGTTATCCTTTGCTGGTCTTTCCCAGAAATATCCATCCCCCCCCCCTGTTTTAATCTGTGTGGATCTGTTGATTTTTGTTGTTTGAATGTTTGAAAAAATCTGGGATTTTTTTCATCCCTAAAATATTTGACTCTGGTTAGCTGGCTAGGGGTGGCATTGGGAGAGATGAGGAAGGTGAGGTAGAAGGAGACCTTTGATTTAGAACAGGGGTGTCAAACTCACCTCACGGCAGCGTCACATGACATATCAGGACTTTTTCCCCCTTTCCTAAACTGGGTGGGGGTGGGGCCAGCATGTGACTCATCAGGCCCATGGGCCGTGAGTTTGACATCCCTGTGTCAACTCATACAATATTTCTGTGAGTTGCCAACAAAATGGGAGGGGGAAGCAGTGGGCAGCTTGCATTCCATACATATTTTCAAAGATAGTAACTGTGACTGAAATTTCTGCCGTGCAAAATTCTAACTGGAGAACATGATTGATGACTCTTGGCTATGGTTGTGTCCCATTGGAGAATATGAATTATGATACACCCAGGGGGGGCGGGAAAACCAGGGTCAAGGGTGACAATGAATTATGTGTCTCAGAGTCGGGTACACCCAGGCAGTGCCGGACATGTTAATTCCCAATAAATCTTTTTGGAGTTTGGCTAGAGACTTGTGATTTAAATGGGGTTAAGTGTCGAAATCCTGACACCCTGATTTAGAAGATAATGCAGTTGTCTTCTAAATCAAAAGGGGAAAGGAAGGCCAAAGGAAGTCAAAGACACCCATGACAATGGTGTGCATGGAGAAACACAAAGAATGGAGGAGTGCTGAAGGTAGTCTGAAAATCTTCAGTATGATGACCCCTTTGCTCCACCATCTCATGGGTGGAGGAGAAGCTGTCCATTCCACTTAGCGATCAAGAACCAAGCATGAACCTTCTCTCCAGCAAAATTTGCTTTAGGAAAAGTGAAGAGTTCAGCATTCGTGTCGCCATCAAAGAATGCTATGAGGCCTTGTGAATAGTCCAGAGAAACTCGGATCCTTCTCGGCGAATGACTCAGTGACAAATTTGTCCTGGGATGAGTGATGGCTTGGTGCTGCCCGTCAATTCGCTGCACTCCCCAGTAACCTCCGCTTGGTTGAAGGACAATGGGCCCCTTCCTGTTTGCAGACTCCCTAACAATTCCTACCCCCCACCACTCCCCTTTCTCCACCACCTCCACCTCCCAGCAAAGCTTCCCAGAGCTAAAGCTCTCGTGGCTTAGGACACTGGCCAGAAGTTCATATCTCAGAGGACTGGTCTTCACTTGCTGTTTCATGGCTTTCCATCTCACGCTTTTCAAATCTGGAGATATGTACAGCTGGGGGTGAGCCGTGCTTGGATCCAGAGTCAGGTTTGCTGTTTGAAAGGAAAAAAAAAAACAGTTTTGGGAAGAAGGAATTATCATCTTTTGCGTGTCATCTAATTTTCCTTACGTCATGCCCAGGAGTAAGGCTTTCTGCCCGCAAAACCTTGGAAGAACTGGAAATAATAAGATAAAGCTGGCTGGAGAAAATAGCAATTGCATCAAGGAATTGCTGCATGTATATTTTTCAGGATAGCTTTTGTTCAATTATATACAGTAAGCCTTCTGTTTTACAGACACCCTGTCATCAGTCTCTGGATGCAATAGAAAAAAAACTAGACTTCATATTTTATAGAAATGTTACCTGGGTGATGCAAAATTAGTAAGTTAAAATAAATTACAAAATCACCCTGCATAGTTAGGCTACACAGTTTGCATAATGTACATAATATTTGCCTATATTGTGCACAAAATTGCTCTTGTTAAAATTTCCATAAATTCTGATCTAACAGAAGTTTGGCTTTAACAGATATCCTTTTCCTTCCGTTTCTCTGTAAAAGTGAGGTTTGATTAAAACTTTGGTTTTGTCCCTACGTTTCTTTCTTCTAATTCTCTCTTGTTCAAATTAATGATTGCTAGTTTTGGCACATTGAGCTCAATGCCATGTAAGCTTGTCATTTCACATGCTCTCTTCATTGCCTCCACAGGTAGTTCTCGAGTTACAATCATTTGTTTAGTGACGGCACTGAAAAAATGACTTGTGACTGGTTCTCACACCTGTGACCTATGAAGCATCCACACAGTCACATGATCAAAATTTGGATACTTGGCAACTGGGATGTATTTATGATGGTTGAAGCATCTCAGGGTCCTGAAGTTGTCATCTACAGCCTTCCTGGGGAGCTTCTGGCAAGCAAAATAAATTCCAGATTCCAGATTAGCTTAACAATCACGATTCACTTAACTGCAGGGATTTGCTTAACAACCATGGCAAAGAAGGTCATAAAATGGGACATGAGTAATTTAATATCCGCCAACGGAAATTTTGGACTCAGCCCAGGCTGTAAATTGAGGACTTAACCTGTATTAAAGTTTAAAAGGGACTTTTTACCATCCACGGTGGATGTGACAAAGCAGAATAAAAATGATTCATTTTCTATGATTCATATTTTAATACAGAAAATCCTGAAAATGGAGATAAAAATGAAACCAGAACTTTTCCTCTTGGGTCTAGTGGAAAAAGAACTGGAGAAAAAAAATGAAATTTTGTTACTATACATGTTGATGGCAGCAAGACTATTGAAATACGTAAAAATGGAAGGACAGTTCGATTCCTACTATGGAAGAACAGTTGCAGAGGTTGATGGAGTTGGCTGAAATGGCAACACTCGCTACCTCGATTAAAAAAAAGGACATAAGTACTTTTGTTCCACATGGAAACCGCTTCTGAACTTTGTGCTTGAGGTGGAGAAGAATGAAACTTTGATTTTGAGTTTTACAGATTAGATTGATAGATCTTTATATAAATGATGTGTTCCAGTGGTGGTATTCAGCCGGTTCGCAACGGATCAGATGAACCGGTAGCAAGAATTTGGCGTGGTAGTAAGTTCTGGCTGGCCACGCCCCCCACCCGGTCGCCCTCCTGCCCAATGCTCGCTCACCTCGCCCGCCTGCCTGACATTCGCCTAAGGTATGTATTTCTTTTTTCCCGCTCCCGATAATCAGCTGTAGATAAGCTGTACCGGGATTCCCCTTGCTGAGGCCCAGGAAGGCAAAAAATGGAGGGAGGAACTCAGTCCCCCTCCATTTTTTGCCTTCCAGAGCCCCAGAAGAGCCTTAGGGGAGCAAAAACGCCCCCCCCCAAGGCTTCTCTGTGGCTAAGAAGCTCCCCAAAATGGGTGGGGGCTGCAACAAAAGCCATGCCCACCCAGTCATGTGGCCACGCCCACAGAACCAGTAGTAAAAGTTTTTGAATACCACCACTGATGTGTTCATACTATTATGGAAAAAGCAAAAACTTGTGATCTGTTGTTAATGCCTTATTCTACTGTAACAGAGAGAGTCGGAAGTCAGTGCTTTTCTTTTTCTTTCCCTCTCTTTCCTCACTTTTCTTCTCCCTCCCCCCTTCCCCCTCATTGTCCTCTTATTTACTTTTGTGTTTTACAATACTTTCTAACATAATAAAATGTAAGCGGGCAAGAAAGACTAGGCAGGAAAACGAAGTTCACACTCCTATTAAATTCCTGTTATCGTTGTCCTTAGTTTCTGTTGCAACCGAATGGCCAAATTCTTCAGCAAAGCATACTGTCAGTGGAAAGCATAATAACTGCAAAAGGGACTGGTATCCCTTTTGTAGTTGCTATCTTCCTTCCCCCAAAAGGTCTTCAGCATTGAGCAACATTAGATGACCTTGCTTCATTTTGCAGCCCGATGCTCCTTTTGCTAGGAAGCCAAAATGACCACCGTGGAGCTTCAAAGGACACTGGTGTCATCCTGTCACTGGAGAAAAGTCTACTTCTGAAAACACCTTATCGGTGTGTGAGCTTTTCAACCACGTCTTGTATATCTTTGAAACAGTGGTGGCATTCAATTTTTTAAACTACCGGTTCTGTGGGCGTGGCTTGGTGGGCATGGCAGGGAAGGATATACTGCAAAATCTCCATTCCCACCCCACTCCAGGAGAAGGATACTGTAAAATCCCCATTCCCTCCCCACCCCACTAACCTGCTTTCCAGCTCTGTTCTCCTGTGCAGGGCAACAAAAGAAGACCCAGCCAATCAGCTGGGACTCAGGAGGCAGGAAATAGATGGGGGTGGGGCCAGTCAGAAGTGGTATTCCGAACAACTCAAAATTTCCACTACCAGTTCTCCAGAACCGGTCAGAACCTGCTGAATACCACCTCTGCTTTGAAACCACAAAGAGGAATAAAGATGTTACTCAATTCTAGAGCAGTTGGACTTTACCTGTTATGCTGTTTGCAGCAGATCGACAAGGAATACAGTTTAGCATGCAACTCCGGATCTGGTAAGGGGCAGGTTTTGAAACAGCATGAACCTGGAAATCTTTAAAAAAAATAATTAGAATTTAATGCCATCCAACAAACACATCTGTTTTATATTGGTTCACAAGCAGCTCACGGAAGTAGGAAGCCCCTTAGACCAGTGATGGCGAACCTTCTCAGCAGTGAGTGCCCAAACCTGAACACATGTGCAATGTGCAGGTGCCGGAGCACTACGCGCATGCCTGTTTTTTGGCTGTTTTCAGGCCATTCTTTGGGCCCTTTGGGGGGCCGTTTTCAGGCTCTTTTTCAGGCCATTTTTGGGCTGATTTGGGGATGTTTGGGGGGGGTTGTCCCAGAAATGCCCCCAAAAATGGCCTCAAAATGGCCTGAGAAATGGGCTCAAAATGGCCCTAAAAAAGGCCTGAAAAACAGCCTGACAATGGCCTGAGAAACAGGCTGAAAATGGCCCTGAAAAATGGCCTGAAAATGGCCCAGAAATGGGCCTGAAAATGGCTTGAGAAATAGGCTGAAAATGGCTGAAAATTGCCCTGAAAAAGAAAATGGCCCAGAAAATGGCCTGAAAATGGCCTGCGAAATGGGCTGAAAATGGCCCTGAAAAAGGCCTGAAAAACAGCCTGAAAATGGCCCGAGAAATGGGCTGAAAATCGCCCAAAATGGCTCTGAAAAAGGCCTTAAAACTGGTCTGAAAAAGGCCTGAAAAATAGCCTGAAATGGCCCAGAAAAGGGCCTGAAAATGGCCTGAGAAATGGGTTGAAAATGGCCCAAAATGGCCCTGAAAAAGAAAATGGCCCAGAAAATGGCCTGAGAAATGTGCTGAAAATGGCCTGAAAAAGGCCGGAAAAATGGCCTGAAAATGGCCTGAGAAACAGGATGAAAATGGCCCAAAATGGCCCAGAAAAAGGCCTGAAAAACAGCCTGAAAATGGCCTGAGAAATGGGCTGAAAATGGCCCAAAATAGTCCTGAAAAATGGCCTGAAAAAGGCCTCAGAACAGCCTGTTTTGGGGGCCATTTTCCGGCACTCCAGCACCCATAAAGACCAGCTGGCTGGCATGCCAGAAACCAGAAGAGCAGCTGGCGATGGTGTGTGTTCCCACCGAGAGGGCTCTGCGTGCCACCTCTGGCAGGCGTGCCATAGGTTTGCCATCACAGCCTTAGACTTTTGGTATGCAGAATTCTTTTAAGAAACAAAGTTCCTAATGGATAAGAGTACCAAGAAATAGCTTTGTCTCAGATTCAGGCATTTCAAAGGATTTCCTCACCAAGAAGCCCAATTCACAAATTCAAGTTATTAATTGCTTGGTCATACATGACATGGTCATCTTCTGTTTGGACTTACTGCAGTTTGCTCTACATGGGGCTAACTGTGAAAAGTATCCAGAAGCTTCAGCTGGTACAGACTGCGTCTGTGCAGGCAAACTTGGGCACCCAAGGAACAGGGCATATAACACCTTTCCTGCACAAGCTACATTGGGTGCCAGTTTGCTTCCTGGTCCAATTCAAGGTGTTGGTTATGACCTTTAAAGCCCTATATGGCAGGGGACCAGGCTACCTATGGTATCATCTTTGTCCTATTACTTCAGCCTGTCTCACTCGATGAAGGCAGAGAAGGCATATTATAGACCCCATCAAACTATTCTGACCGGTGGGATCCAGGAAGAGAGACTTCTATGCTGTTGTCCCCACCCTTTGGAACATCCTAAAGAACTGTGATGGTGTAGTGGTTAGAATGCAGGCTACTTCTGCTGACTGCCAACTGCCTGCAATTTGGTGGTTCGAATCTCACCAGGCTCAAGGTTGACTCAGCCTTCCATCCTTCCGAGGTGAGTAAAACGAGGAACCAGATTGTTGGGGGCCATAGGCTGACTCTGTAAACCATTTAGAGAGGGCTGTAAAGCACTGTGAAGCGGTATATAAGTCTCAGTGCTATTGCTATCCTCCCATGGAGGTGAGGTGGACCCCCGCTGTCCTGGCCTCTCAGAAAGGTGTAAAACCTGGCTGTGCAATCTTGCTTGGAGTACACAGTGGAGCACACAGCCATAGGGCTGGTTAGCACTCTGAAAACTCTCTCCCCGCCCTTTTGAATAACTTTTAACATTGAATTTTACTTACCCTGGCTTCTTTTAAACATTTTATATACCATTTTTATGTTTTAATATTTTATTTCTGTGGTGCCCAGAGTGTCTCTGACAGGGGCAGTTTCTGAATTTAATAATTAAATCGATAAATAAAATTTTTTGGGCATCAATATGGTTCTGTGTATTTCTATAGCTACGCAATACAGCACGAAAAAGCATGACAAGCCGGGAGAAGAATGCAGAACTTGCCTTACCCCCACGCACGAGAAGAATTAAAACCACAGCCAGAGCTACATTTCCCGCCACCGAAATGCCAAGGATAATCTTACAGCAGAGATTAAAGGAACAACCTGTGGATATTAATCATAGAGTTTAGCTTTCCATCCATCCACCAGCTTCCATATCTGTGTTGTGGGTTATTAAAGTATTAGGCCCAGGTTTACGCCCAGCCATGGAAACTCACAGTTTGAAGGACGGGCTCACTCTTTCAGCCCAACCTTCCTCACAGGGACATTAGATAGGGAAGTAAAGCAGATCCACAAATGTCCATGGGATCTTGCTGTCTTGAATAAAATTGCACTACATTCTGCTCCTCTTGTTTTATCATGTGGTATAACAACAGTTTTACAGAAGGGGGTCCATCATTCTTCAACCCTTTCATCAGAATAGAGCTGGAAGGGACCTTAGAGGTCTTCTAGTCCAACCCCCTGCTCAAACAGAAGACCCTATACAATTTGAGACAAGTGGCTGTCCACTCTCTTCTTAAAAAGTTCTCCATCTCCTTTCAGAAGATGCTGAAGGAGAGATTACTTTGCATTTCGTTTCGGTTTAACTAATTCCTCATCAAAGGGTATTGTAACCGGAAGAACCAGAAATAAGAACAAGATCAAAGCAGACATTAAAATGAAACATAAAACCAAGAGATGTGACAGCCCAATTTTGCATCTTGAAGTTAAATAGGTTGCCTTTTCCCAAAGGTTTTCTGGGAAGGCCTTAAGGAAGGACTTAGTAGGACAATGAGCGAATGATAAGTAGGCAGCGGTTTTTGCAAAGGCTGAAAACAATCAAACTGTAGGTCTTTCCAATGGAGAGTTTCAACTTCTTCCAGAGCAGCTAATCAATCCCACTTTGGCCACAAGTGGGAGCCATGAGTGGGGTATTTTGCTTCCTTATGTGTAACTTGCATCAGACTACCTGGAGTATATGATTTTGTAGAGAGAAGGAATTATAGGCAGGTTGTCAAGTTAAAAATATTGCTCTGGTCTTTTAGAGTTGTCAGCAGAAAGGGAGTGGGGGAAGCAATGCATACCTTAAATATTTTTATAGATAATTGCTAGGCGGCCGAAGCTTCTGGCACTCAAGATTATTACTGGAGAGCATGATTGATGACTCTTGGCTGTGGATGTGTCCCATTGGAGAATATACATCCAGGGGATGAGGGAAGACCAGGGTCAAGGGGGAAATGAATGATGTGTCTCAGAGTCGGCTGCACTCAGGTAACACCGGCATGTTTACTCCTAATAAATCTTGGTGTTTTTTTTTTTTAACTCTGAGAGATGTGGCTAGAGACTCATGATTTGAATGAGGATGGATGCCAGAGCTCTGATACAGCTCCAATTTAGCGAAGAAAATTATGGGGATGAGGTGGTGTGCTTTGAATTTTTTTAGCAAGAGATTTTTTTTTCTAGAGGCACAGCCACGTCAACCTGCAATGCACTTGTTCTCGAGCAACCCAGAAAGTCTTCCCGCCTAAAATCTAGAGATCTTCTTCACTTGTGGGCAGTGCTGTCCTTAGAGTGTTAAGAAAGACCACAGTGGTTAAGGAACCACAGTGGTTAGTGGATTTCCCCTGGCTTTGATTCTCCTTCCCTTGTCTGAAGACTGACAAAATGTGGAAGAAGCCCATCTAGTTGCTTAATACCTTCTCAGCTGCTTTTCAAAACAAGAAAATTTCCCTACCCAGAGAAGCAATGTCACGGTGACTCTGGACATCTAGGGACAAACAGAGCAGAGCCTAAAGTCGTAGTAACAGTGAGATGGGATGCTTATACAAATGCAGGTACTCCTCGACGTACGACCACAATTGAGCCCCAAATTTATGTTTCTAAGCGAGACATTTATTAAGTGAATTTTGCTCCATTTTACAGCTTTTCTGCCCACATTTGTTAAGGGAATCGCTGCGATTGTTAAATTCATAACACCGTTGTTAAGTGAATCTGGCTACCCCACTGACTTTGCTTGTCAGAAGATCACAAAAGATGATCCCATGACCCTGGGACACTGCAACCATCATAAATATGAAACAGTTGTTAACAGAAGTGGTATTCAGCAGGTTTTGGCCAGTTCTGGAGAACCGGTAGCGGAAATTTTGAGTAGTTCAGAATACCACCTCTGACTGGCCCCGCCCACATCTATTCTCTGCCTCCCGAGTCCCAGCTGATTGGCTGGGTCTCCTTTTGTTGCCCTGCACAGGAGAACGGAGCTGGGAAGCAGGTTAGTGGGGTGGGGAGGGAATGGGGATTTTGCAGTATCCGTCTCCTGGAGTGGGGTGGAAATGGGGATTTTACAGTAACCTTCCCCTGCCACGCCCACCAAGCCATTACACGTCCACTAAGCCACACCCACAGAACTGGTAGTAAAAAAATTTGAATCCCACCACTGGTTGTTAAGTATCAAAATGTAAATCACATAACCATGGGGATGCTGCAATGGTCAAAAGTGTGAAAAATGGTCATAAGTCACTTTTTTCAGTGCTGTTGTAACTTTGAACCGTCACTAAATGAACCGTTGTAATTTGAGGAGTAACTGTAAATACATTTTAAAAACTGTTTCTCCTGTGCCAGCACAACAGAGACATTCATGCTAGCCTCATTTGACCAATATCTTATAAATGCCCATTCTTTAAATATGCACGGGACAATTTTATACCTCCTTGCAGCTTGGAGACACTAATCCTGTTATAACATAAACCTTGCCAGGTTTTGCATAGGAGTGATTAAAATCCACCAGATGATGACCTGTGTCTCAAACCAGTCTTAATATGTATTTGAATTGTTTGTTGAGAGTATTTTGTATTATGAGAGATTTAGTGAGGTACATATTTTATATATATTTATTTTTTAGCTTTTCAAATTGTTAATTGTTTGTATTCCATCCTTCTTATGCTGATCTGTGATTGTAATAAAAATTTTAATTGAGTTGTTTAATATGCATTATTCCGCTCAATGCGCAGTTTTGTGGAATGGAATGGAATGGAATAGAATAGAATAGAATAGAATAGAATAGAATAGAATAGAATAGAATAGAATAGAATTCTTTATTGGCCAAGTGTGATTGGATACACAAGGAATTTGTCTTGGTGCAAATGCTCTCAGTGTACATAAAAAGAAATGATACTTTTGTCAAGAATCATAAGGTACAATACTTCATGATAGTCATAGGGTACAAATAAACATAGGGTATAAATAAGAAATGGCAGGATATGAACTATGGAGGAAACTAAACACCCTTTCCTAAAGACAAAATTAAAGATGAACCTTGAAGAACACACTCTTATCTTTAGAAGCTTCAGATCATGTCGTCATTGGCATCTATTCCACTTTCTTTGCTTTTTAGATGTTTTCTCCTGCCTAATATGACCAGATCATAAGATGGTGGAGAAGAGGGAAACAATATGAAATGTAGCTGATAAAAATCTGACAAGGAAGGAGTAATTTTTTTGAAGTGCATTTTGTTAAAAAAAAAAAGTAGTTTATGAAGAGCCGTTATGCAGACACCAAAAAGTTGTTAGAACATAGGAAGTTGGAATACAGGAAGTTCAATCAATAAAAACTTTGAAGTTTATGACAATTTTATTCAAAATAAGTTTACAAAGAACTTAAAATAACACAGGTAAAGAATAGAAGAAGCAAGGAGAGAAAGAAAACATGCAAAAAGAATGAATGACAAAGAAATAGAAGAAACTTCTGATTTCCTTTGCAGTAAATATAAGTACAATTATAAAATTATTTTTACCTATGATTGCAAAAAAAAATCTATCATGTTTTCTATTATCCAGGTTTCTTTTCTTCCTAATCATCAAAACCATAAATCATACAAACATATTTTTCCAATTCATTCAGAAAGACTAAAAAGGGTTTTCAATCGGCTTACAGACGGAGATACTGTTTTTTACCTCTGGTCAAAGAAGCTAATTTAACCATCATCATTAGAACATTAACATTATTAGAAATTAATTGTTCCATCATCTTCAGCAACCATTCCTCCAGTGTTCCCACTATTATGACAAATTTTAAATCTATTTTTTAATCCTCCCAAGTTCTTGTCCCATTGTAACAAATGAACAAACTTTCTTCAACGTTTAAAAGCTCAGTTGTTCACCGTGCCCACCAATCAAAATGGCAAATCGATTCTGTAGATTTCAGATGTATTCTCCAGGAATGAAAAAGAAAAAGAAAAAAAGAAAATTTCTGCAGGCACCTATATATATTAAGAAAGACAGTCTTAGTTTTCTCTTTTTTTTTCTACTATAAAAAAGATAAAACTGCTAGGGACTGGATTCACTTTCACCATTTTCTTAAATTGCCTTTAAAAAAAATACTGCCCACATGCAGAGGGCAGTAAATGTCCTTACCTTTGCTCTGTTTAGAAGCTGGCAAGTGTCTGTTTGATGGTTCCAAATATACAAGTCCATCTACATCCATCTTCCAGAGGTTGTTGTTAATGGCTGCAGCAAGTTTCACACTCTTCAAACCAGAAACTACCAATTCCTTGAGCTTCTTAAACAGTCAGTCTGAAGCAATTACATAATTGCCTTCAGGAAGCCAGCCCTAGAAATGATGCTTCATTCAAAGGGGGAGAGGAGGGTTATTTTTTAACTGTAATCATCAATGCACAACTGATGCCTTGTGAACAATTCTGGGTTGGAGACAGCTAAGTGAGTTGAGGGTAGATATTTCTAGGTCTGTTGGGAATCAGAACCTCAATTTCTAAGGACAATCACTCCATTGCTGTTTGATTGATGAGCTGTGGAGTCGCAGTGGTTAGAGTGCAGTACTGCAGGCTACTTCTGCTGACTGCCGACTGCCTGCAATTTGGCAGATTGAATCCCACCTGGCTCAAGGTTGACTCAGCCTTCCATCCTTCTGAGGTGGGTAAAATGAGGACCCCAATGTTGTGGGGGGGCAATATGCTGACTCTGTAAACAGCTTAGGGAAAGCTGTAAAGCACAGTGAAGTGGTATATAAATCTAAATGCTATTGCTATTCCTTTTTTCCATATGTTTTAAGAAAGTTCAACTCCATGGCTTCTATGACACCTCTTTAGAGAAAAAAAAATCCAGATGGCTGGATTGGGAAAAATGGGCAGGGGTGGGATTCTACTGGTTTGGCCTGATTCTATAAAACCGGTAGCTCCGAAGAGTAGCTGACACCGAATTGGTTCTCTCCAAAGATCTTTTCTTTTCACCCGCCTGCCTGGGCTCTAGAATGTCCTTTATTCTTACCTGAGTTGTTTTGCGTGGCACTGCTGAGTGCCATGTGTCAGCAGCAGATGGTAATTGCTTGCAGGAGAAGTTGTTTTGCAAGTACTGCACATGGGTGGGATTCAAATTTTTAACAACCGGTTCTATGGGTGTGGCTTAGGTGGTGGGTGTGGCTTGGTGGTCATGTGACTTGGTGGACATGGCTTGGTGGTCATGTTATTGGCTGGCTGGGACCAACTCAATATCATGCATCATGCATCTCCTCGCCTGGCATCTCATGACTGTGGGGATGCTGCAACAGTCATAAGTGTGAAAAATGGTAATAAGTCACTTTTTTCAGTGCCGTTGTAACTTTAAATGGTCACTCCACACACGCAAAGTACCAGCAAAGGAGGGGGGGAAAAAAATCCAGAGACGTTCCAGAGACAGGATACCTAGTCCTGCCAAGAATGTAATAAGGATTTACAGAGAGGCAATTTCTGTAAGCAAAACCAGAATGTTTCCTTCCTGCCTTCCTTACAGGATTAGGCCAGTAATTTCTTCTAACAACCGGTTTACCGAACTGCTTAGAATGTTAACAACTGGTTCTAGTGAGTAGGTGCAAACTGGTAGAATCCCACCCCTGAATGCGCATGAGTGCAAAGTGTACACTCACCGAACCGGTTGTTATGCCGGTAGGATCCCACCCCTGAAAATGGGGTAGCTGTTCCATCTCCTAATTAACTTCTTATAATAAAGTAGTGATAAAGGATTCATTCCAGGTTATGGTCAGGGCTCCATTGTCAGTGAAGATTCTGTGGGAACATGTGTTCTTCTGCATACAGATAATTCACAACTTACAACAGTTTATTTACTTACCATTCAAAGTTCCAACTGCAGGGGAAAAGTGACTAATGACCATTTTTCACACTTATGACCATTACACCATCCCTGTGGCCACATGATCAAAATTTAGACTGTGGTGACTGATTCATACTTATGATGATTTGGGGTGTTCCCAGGGTTATGTGATCACTTTTTGTGACCTTCTCGCAAACAAAGTTAATGTGGAAGCCAGATTCACTTAACAACCATGTTACTAGCTTAATAACTGCTGTGATTCACTTAACAATTGTAGCAAGAAAGATCGTAAAATAGGGCAAAATTCACTTTTTATTTATTTTTTATCTATTTGATTTGTCAATCGCTTACAAGATAATAGGTTTAAGTATAAACATAGTTATGAATACATGAAATAGATACATATAAGAAAAATAAAAAGAAACAGTAGGACAGGGACGATGGGCACGTTGGTGCGCTGTCTTGCTTAGCAGCAGAAACTTTGGGCTTAATTGTGAGCATAAATTGAAGATTACTTATATTGTAATTTTGGAGGCCCTCTTGAGGTTCTCTCAGATGACTGTAGACTAGAGATGTCAAACTCGGTTTTGTCAGGGTTGTGTTTGACCTCGGGGGAGGGGGAGGCGGAGGGCCATAGCCAGCTCTACATCACTCATGTTGAGGGTACCTG